GCAAAACGCGGTCGGTTTGCGGTTTCAAAAATCACCAAACCGCAAATAGTCGGTCGGTTTGCAGTTTGAGTAAAAATTCGCGGTTACCGAACCGCAACCACCCCTAGTTCATCGTAAGGACCATTTGTTATATATATATATATATATATATATGCCACGTCAGCAAATTAATGGAGTTTTTGACGGGACCTAATGGCAAAGATCATTTGTAATCATGCATACTAACCTTGAGGACCACGAATGACAAAAAAAAACATTAAGGATGCAATTTGATAGTTTCGTAAACCTTATAGATGTTTTGTGATAATATGACTGAAAAAAAAAGATGACAAAAAAATTGCAATCCAAAGGTACATGTAAAAAAAGATGGGGGATGCGCGATCTGAATGAATTTTAGAATAAGCGATAGTTTTTATTGACAAATAAAACAAAGTATAAAGCCATTATGCGGGCAAATTTTAACTATGCTTTTAAATTTTTGTTGGAAGCTGATTTTCCCATTCCTCTTTTCTCCACTTACACTCCCTTTTTCTTTTTAATATTTTTTAAATTAATTTTGTTCTTTTTCTTTCTTATTCTATCTTTACCCTACATTAATTTCCTTTTTACTTCACTTTTATATTATTTCTTTTTCTTTATACTTAAATTTCCAACTTACGCTCCATTTTCAATATTAAAGGAAAAAAAAACATAATTTCATACTCGATTAAAGAAAAAAAAATATTGAAAATAGAGTGCAAGTTGGAAAATTAAGTATAAAGAAAAAAACTAAAATAAAAGTGAAGTAAAAAGAAATTAATGTAGAATAAGGTAGAATGGGAAAGAGAAAGAACAAAATTGATTAAAAAGTATTAAAAAACAAAAGGGAGTGTGAGTGGGGAAATCAAATCCCTTTTTTTAAATGTTATGTTTATGAATCACTTTTCATAAAACAAATGTGATGGATTATCCTACGTCATCCTATGACGTCGTGACGAATGCACTTCTTCATTTTTTAAGGTCAAATGGTCAAGGGGGGGACCAAGTTCAAAAGAACTTCAACACATGGCATGATGGACGTGCTAGTTCTATCACAACTTTACAAGATTCCTAAACTTCTCTTTTCCTTGTTTCTTTTTCTTTTATGATTGACACTGATCATATATATATTTTTTCTCTACTAGCTTCGTGGCGAAGATATCCAACATCCCTTTATCTAGATTAAAGTGGGTTTTTGTGAACTGGGTTCCAAAGCACATATGCTTTTCTTTAACACTGAATGCGGGTAAGCCAAGTGTCGGAGGTATTTTGTGGGAGAGAGAGGGAGGGGAGGGAGAGAGAGAGAGAGTGAGTAACTGAGAGGAGATGATGGAAGCTAGAACAGACCGTATCACTGATATTGTGTTTTCTTGGTCGCTTGAAGACATTTTCAATGAAAATCTTTACAAGAAGCAGGTATTATTTCATCCAGTTTGTTAACGTTTTCTCATGAATAATGTTATCTGCAGGTTTACCTTACTTAGTCTGAACTTTTATTAGTACTGTTTCAGGTGCAAAAAATCCCTGAATCATTTGATTCGGTTAAGCATTATTTTTCTTCTTATTTATATCCTCTATTGGAAGAAACTCGAGCACAGGTGCATTCAAGTATGGAAACCATTGACAGAGCACCATCTGCTGAAGTTGTTGGTTGTGAAGAATGCGATCCTTATGGCCCTTACGGGGAAAATGTATATGATATCAAGGTTGATTGCTGGAGAAACAGGTTCAATGATCGTGGCAAGGAACCATACAAAACTTTGCCCGGGGATCTTTTTGTCTTAGCAGATGCCAAACCCGAAACGGTTTCTGATTTACAAAGGGTAGGGACAGGGAGGTCCTCTTGGGCTTTTGTTTCAGTCACAAATGTCCCAGAAAATGAGGACGAGGATGACATTGACAGTACTTCTCTTTATTTTAGAGTCAAGGCATCCAAAGATATCACTCATACATCACTATTTTTGGTTTTCCTGGTGAATTTAATTCCTAATAACAGAATATGGAAAGCGTTGCTCAAGTCTGGAAATCTGAAGATTATCAAGGAAGTTTTGTGCACCGATTCTGTGGTAAGACCTTAGGTTTCGTAACGCGTTGCATTCACTAAAATGAGACCTATTACATGATGCATGATGTAATGTAATACTCACCACACATCATAGATCATACCCAAATATCAGTGTCTTTTCATAACTAAATATAATAATATTTAAAGTTTAACAAGAAAAATGGCATTTTCTTTTCCTTCTTTATCTTTTGGATCAAAGTTTCTTTCCTGTGTTTATCTGTGACACTCCAGTTATGCAGTGACATATTTTCTCCCGTCAATTTATTCCCATGCCACATCAGTGTTATGATTCCATTGGGTTTTTCAAAAAGGAGGGGGTGGGGAGGGGGAATATCTGTTATTATACTTCAGAATTGACATTTATTTTTGGGGGTGATTGCAAATCTTATGCTTGTTAACAGGCTCAGAAAAACAATTATCTCTGTTCTGAAACAAATGATGACATCCGGGATAAGTGGTTAGTTGAGAGTTCATCATCAGGATTGAATGAGTCCCAAACTGGGGCAGTTTTGGCCTGCCTTGAAATGCTGCGTTGGGATTCCAAGTCTACCGTGCAACTTATATGGGGTGCACCTGGGACAGGAAAAACTAAAACCACCGCGACGCTTCTTTTTACTCTGTTACGGATGAACTGTAGGACTCTAATTTGTGCCCCAACGAATGTTGCAATAACTGAAGTTGCTTCTTGTGTTCTAAAGATGGTAACTGAAGCAAAGTCCAATTCTTTGGGAGAAATTCTTCTATTTGGGAATAAGGAGCGACTCAAAGTTGGACCACACATTGAAGATATATATTTGAATTACCGTGTCAAAATGCTAGTTGAGTGCTTGGGGCCAGTGACTGGTTGGAGTATTTGCTTCGCTTCAATGATAGGTTTTCTTGAAGATTGTGTTTCTCATTACCATATTTTCTTGGAAAATGAGTTGAGCAATGAGAAAGAACATGAGGGTGATAGTGAAATGAAAGAGAAAGAATGCAGAACTGACACTCAAGTTATCAAAGGGAAGTGTAAATCATTTGTTGAATTTTTCAGAGATAGCTTTGTTTCTACTGCATTACCGCTAAGACGTTGCATTTTTACCTTCTGTACCCATATAGCCAAAAATTACTTTTTGGCACATACTTTCCAAAACATGATTTCGCTCATAGGATTATTTGATTCCATTGAATCATTATTGTTGCATGGTGATTTTGGTTCTGAAGCATTGGAACACCTTTGCTCTTGTTCAGAAGTTGAAGATGTGCCAGAGTCATTTGTAGATAACTCATTTCTGCTGTGCATGAAGAGAAAAGAATGCCTTTCAGTATTACGTACTCTACAGGATTCTCTTAGTGGACTTGACCTTCCAAATTTTAGGAATGGAGAAGCTCTAATGGAATTCTGTTTTCAAAGAGCTTCCTTAATTTTTTGCACTGCGTCGAGTTCGTATATGCTGCATAGATTGGCAATGGAGCCACTGACCATTGTTGTTATTGATGAAGCTGCACAATTGAAAGAGTGTGAATCAACAATACCCCTGCAACTTCCAGGTGTGAAGCATGCTGTTCTTGTTGGTGATGAATGTCAGTTACCAGCTACGGTGAACAGCAATGTACGTTGATAGTACTTGGTCATACATGTGTCTATATATATATCCTTCATTTCTCTTATTGCAATTTTTCATTCCACTTCTTATTCCTTTGCACTTATACCTAACTTGATTTCTTCCACAGGTTTCTGTTGAGGCTGGTTTTTCAAGAAGCTTGTTTGAGAGGTTGAGCTCAATGGGACACTCAAAACACCTTCTGAATATGCAATACAGAATGCATCCCTCAATAAGTTTGTTCCCAAATACAAATTTCTATAACAACCAGATCCTAGACGCTCCAAATGTTAAAAAAAGAAGCCACGAGAAACACTATCTTCCAGGGTCAATGTATGGTCCCTTTTCTTTTATAAATGTAATTGATGGAAGAGAGGAGAAGGATGAGGATGGACGTAGTAGAAAGAATATGGTCGAGGTTGCTATTATTCTGAAAATACTGCGGAAGCTGTACAAAGGTATGCATGTATGTCTAGCTGCTGAGTCATGTTCATGTTCTCAATTGAATATTTTCAATGATTTTGATTTCCATGTGGTTTATTTTATATGCTTGTAAGGTTGATTGAACTGTAAGAAATGTTAAAATCTGTGTAATAATTTTTCTCACCATAAATTTTTTGGTACAGAATGGATTGTTTCAAAACAGAAACTCAGTATTGGGGTGGTATCACCGTATGCTGCTCAAGTAGTTGCAGTTCAGGACAAACTTCGACAGAGGTATGACAAGATTGATGGCTTTACTGTGAAGGTGAAGACGGTTGATGGGTTCCAGGGTGGGGAAGATGACATAATTATTGTCTCCACTGTACGATCTACTATTCATCAATCCATTGATTTTATATCAAAACCGCAACGAGTTAATGTCGCTCTTACAAGGGCTAGGTGTGGTTTTATGTTACTTGTATGTTTTTGTATCATTGTTGATAAGTTTGGTGAAAATAACTACTCTTCCCTAATGACTTTAGGCATTGCCTTTGGATTCTGGGAAATGAAAGAACTCTATCTGATAGGGAATCTGTTTGGAAGGCCTTGGTCCTTGATGCCAAACGTCGTCAATGCTTCTTTAATGCTGATGAAGACAAGGATTTGGCCGGGGCCATATTAGAGGTGAAGAAAGAATTCGGCCAATTTGATGATTTGCTTAATCCTGACAGCATATTTTTTAGAAGTTCTAGATGGAAGGTAATCTGTAGATTTTTTCTCCCCTTAATTTCCAAGAAATCCCTGCTCAAACTTTTCAATATTTGTTCTGATATTGGACTTTCTATCAACTACATTCAAAACTTTTTTATATATTTCATTTTACAAATTTTGTTCTTCCCCCAATCCATTACTTTTAGGTACTTTTCAGTGATAACTTTCTGAAGTCATTCAAAAAGCTGAAGTCAATCCGTTTAAAGAAGTCTGTATTAAATCTTCTGCTGAAGCTTTCCACTGGTTGGAGACCTAAGAAGCCAAATGTAGGGACAATTTGTGGAAGCTATTCACATATCTTGAGGAAATATATGGTTGAAGGTCATTACATTGTTTGCACAACTGATATTGCAAAGGATGTGAAATACATTCAAATATTGAAGGTTTGGGACTTATTGCCTCTAGAGGATATTCCAAAATTGGTAAACCGTCTAGAGAGTATTTTGAAAAGATATACAGATGATTTTATCAACCGGTGCAAGGAGAAATGTCTTGAGAGGTATGTTGTTTTGCATTCTCGTATTTTGAAATTCTAAAGATACAAATAATTCATCATGTTTTGAAATTTTAAAGTAACTTTTACTTTTCGTTGTCATTTGTGACCAGTGATTTGGAAGTTCCCAAGAGCTGGCCACCCTCTTTGGACATTGTACGATTCAAGGATCTTAGCATCACTGAAAACCAGAGTGATTTAGTTGGTGATAATGATTCTGACGGTAGAAGTTATGTTGAGAATTCACAGGTCAGCGAGAGTTTGTTGCTCATGAAATTTTACTCCTTGTCATCTGGTGTAGTAAACCACTTGCTGTCTGACCGTGAGGGTAGAGAGTTGGATCTTCCGTTCGAAGTCACTGACCAGGAAATGGAGATTATTCTTTATCGTAAAAGTAGCTTTATAGTTGGACGGTCAGGAACCGGGAAGACCACGGTTTTAACCATGAAATTGTTTCAGAATGAACAATGTTACCAATTGGCTGTGCAAGGATGCCTTAGTAGTCAAAATAGAATGGTTGAACAGAGTTCTTCAGCTACTAAGGGAAGAAATCTACACCAGCTTTTTGTGACCGTCAGTCCTAAACTGTGTTTTGCCATCAAGCAGCATGTTTTAAACTTAAAAAGGTACGTGGATTATTCAACAAAAAGATACTGCATTTTTATTTTCTTTTGTTTAGTTGCAGGGTATTCTATTGTGAATCATGATACAATATTATTCTTGAAGGATACATTAGGAATCTTTATTTCTGTTGCTCAGTTGAAATTTTCTTTCTTGTTCCACAAGTTGCTAACTTTCGTATATTCACAGTTTTGCATGTGGTGGAAGTGATTCAACTGAAAAGAGTTTGATTGATATGGCTGATTTTGATGAGGAGGAAGCCCAATTCAAGGATATCAAGGATTCATTTCATCATATTCCTCCCAATTCTTACCCTCTTGTCATAACATTCCATAAGTTCTTGATGATGCTTGATGGAACACTGGGGAACTCATACTTTGAAAGATTCCTTGATGCAACAAAACTTACACACGGTCGATTGCAAAGTTCAAGATCAGTTGCTTTGCAGACCTTTATAAGGACAAAGGAGGTTAAGTATGAGAGATTCAGTTCATCTTACTGGCCCCATTTTAATATCCAGTTAACAAAGAAGCTCGATGCTTCAAGAGTCTTTATAGAGATAATATCTCATATTAAAGGTGGTTTGGGAGCCATGGATGCAGGTGATGGTAAACTCAATCGCGACGACTATGTTCAATTGTCAGAGGGCCGGGGTTCCAATTTAAGCAAGCAAAAGAGAGAAGAAATATACGATATATTTCAGGCTTATGAAAAAATGAAGATGGAAAATGGTGAATTTGATCTGGCTGATTTTGTAATTGATCTTCACCGTCGTCTCAGGCATGAAAAATATGGGGGTGATCAAATGGACTTTGTTTATATTGATGAGGTCCAAGATCTCACAATGAGTCAAATTGCTCTGTTTAAACATATGTGCATCAACAATATTGATGAGGGTTTTATTTTTTCTGGGGATACAGCACAAACAATTGCTAGGGGTATTGATTTTCGGTTCCAAGATATACGACATTTGTTCCACAAGAAGTTTGTGTTGGAAGCAAGAAGCAATAAGCTTGAAGAAAGAAAAGAAAAGGGACAAATTTCAAAAATGTTTCATTTGACTCAAAATTTCCGTACCCATGCTGGTATACTAAAGTTATCACAGAGCATTATTGAACTGATTTATCATTTTTTTCCCCACTCTATTGATGTTTTAGACCCTGAAACCAGTCTTATTTATGGGGAAGCTCCAGTTTTGCTTGAATCTGGAGAAAATGAAAATGCAATCATAAAAATATTTGGAAATAGTGCAACTGGTACCGGAAACATAGTTGGCTTTGGTGCAGAGCAGGTTATTTTGGTGCGAGATGATGGTGCCAGGAAAGATGTTTCCATGTTTGTGGGGAAGCATGCTCTTGTCCTCACCATTGTGGAGTGCAAGGGCCTTGAGTTCCAGGTTTTTTTTTTTTTAAAGCCTTAGAGAATCTGTTATCAGAGTAGCATGATCTGATATTTTCTCCTTTTCCCTTGCAAAATTTTTTGTGGCTTCACCTTAGAAAATGATGGTTTACTGCTGCTGCACAATATATTGAATATTTACTATCTTTTTTCGTAACATTCATGTCCCTTTTATAGGACGTACTCTTGTACAACTTTTTTGGATCATCACCACTGAAAAACCAATGGAGGGTCATATATGATTACATGAAGGAACGAGATTTACTTGACTCAACATTACCAAAGGGCTTTCCAAGTTTCAATGAAGCTAGGCACAACATCCTGTGCTCTGAATTGAAGCAATTATATGTTGCTGTTACTCGTACGAGACAGAGATTGTGGGTTTGTGAGAATGTAGAAGAGCTCTCCAAACCAATGTTTGACTATTGGAAGAAGAAATGTCTTGTACAAGTTAGGCAACTGGATGATTCACTCGCACAAGCAATGCAAGTTGCAAGCAGTCCAGAGGAGTGGAAATCACGGGGAATTAAGGTTTGCATAATTTTCTCCTTGTAACAACAATTAAGATGAATAGTGATGATGAAAAGGAGCGATAAACAATTGAAGTATTTGTTGCAGTATTGCTTAATTCATATTGTTCTTATTGTCATCATCATTATAATCCTTCTTTTCATTACAAGCATCATACTGTTACTTGCAGCTATATCATGAACATAACTATGAAATGGCCACAATGTGTTTTGAGAGAGGTGGTGATACATATTGGGAAAGAAGGTCTAAAGCTGCCGGCCTTAAAGCTATCGCTGACCGTATGCGAACTTCAAATCTTGAAGAGGCCAATTCCATTCTTAGGGAAGCTGCTGAAATATTTGATGCTATAGGCAAGGCAGATTCCGCTGCGAGATGCTTTTCTGATTTGGGCGAATATGAGAGAGCAGGTATGACTATTTAACATATCTTATCTTTAGCTTGTATTTCTTGTTTCAAGTACAAGATTTTATTTCACCATCATTTACAATCTTGCACCCCTGCCTGTAATGTTATGTACTTCCACTTATTGTTGAAACCTCTGGACTTTATTGGTGCAGCTAGGATTTATTTGGATAAATGTGGCGTGCCTGATCTGGAAAGAGCTGGGGAATGTTTTTCTCTAGCTGGATGCTATAAAGATGCTGCGGATGTGTATGCTAGGGGCAATTATTTCTTCGAGTGTCTCACTGTTTGTTCCAAAGGAAAACTGTTTCAAATGGGTTTACAATACATCAAGTATTGGAAACAGCATGCAATAGAGGACGGCGTTGTTGCCAGAAGAGGTGAAGGAATAGATAAAATTGAACAAGAATATCTGGAGAGCTGCGCATCCCACTATTATGAGTTGAAAGATAACAGATCCATGATGAACTTTGTTAAAGCGTTTCATTCGATTGTTTTGATGCGGAACTTTTTGAAGAAGTTGGGTCTCCTTGATGAGCTTCTTTTGTTGGAAGAAGAATTTGGAAACTATCTTGAAGCTGCAGACATTGCGAAGCTGAAAGGCGATATTCTACTCGAAGCTGGTTTCCTTGGAAAGGCAGGCAAGTTCAAAGAAGCATCATTACACATTCTATTCTATGTGCTTGCAAATTCTCTTTGGTCACATGGCAGAAAGGGCTGGCCCATACAACAGTTTTCACAAAAGGAGGAGCATTTATCAAAAGCCAAGTCATTTGCTAAGAATGAAACAGAAAGCTTTTATGAGCTTGTTTGCACTGAGATTGACATTTTGTTAAATGAGCAGAGTAACTTGGCCTTCATAAAAAATTATATGAATGTTTGTCAGAGGCATAAGAGATTGCTTAATTCATATTGTTCTTATTGTCATCATCATTATAATCCTTCTTTTCATTACAAGCATCATACTGTTACTTGCAGCTATATCATGAACATAACTATGAAATGGCCACAATGTGTTTTGAGAGAGGTGGTGATACATATTGGGAAAGAAGGTCTAAAGCTGCCGGCCTTAAAGCTATCGCTGACCGTATGCGAACTTCAAATCTTGAAGAGGCCAATTCCATTCTTAGGGAAGCTGCTGAAATATTTGATGCTATAGGCAAGGCAGATTCCGCTGCGAGATGCTTTTCTGATTTGGGCGAATATGAGAGAGCAGGTATGACTATTTAACATATCTTATCTTTAGCTTGTATTTCTTGTTTCAAGTACAAGATTTTATTTCACCATCATTTACAATCTTGCACCCCTGCCTGTAATGTTATGTACTTCCACTTATTGTTGAAACCTCTGGACTTTATTGGTGCAGCTAGGATTTATTTGGATAAATGTGGCGTGCCTGATCTGGAAAGAGCTGGGGAATGTTTTTCTCTAGCTGGATGCTATAAAGATGCTGCGGATGTGTATGCTAGGGGCAATTATTTCTTCGAGTGTCTCACTGTTTGTTCCAAAGGAAAACTGTTTCAAATGGGTTTACAATACATCAAGTATTGGAAACAGCATGCAATAGAGGACGGCGTTGTTGCCAGAAGAGGTGAAGGAATAGATAAAATTGAACAAGAATATCTGGAGAGCTGCGCATCCCACTATTATGAGTTGAAAGATAACAGATCCATGATGAACTTTGTTAAAGCGTTTCATTCGATTGTTTTGATGCGGAACTTTTTGAAGAAGTTGGGTCTCCTTGATGAGCTTCTTTTGTTGGAAGAAGAATTTGGAAACTATCTTGAAGCTGCAGACATTGCGAAGCTGAAAGGCGATATTCTACTCGAAGCTGGTTTCCTTGGAAAGGCAGGCAAGTTCAAAGAAGCATCATTACACATTCTATTCTATGTGCTTGCAAATTCTCTTTGGTCACATGGCAGAAAGGGCTGGCCCATACAACAGTTTTCACAAAAGGAGGAGCATTTATCAAAAGCCAAGTCATTTGCTAAGAATGAAACAGAAAGCTTTTATGAGCTTGTTTGCACTGAGGTTGACATTTTGTTAAATGAGCAGAGTAACTTGGCCTTCATAAAAAATTATATGAATGTTTGTCAGAGGCATAAGAGTACTAGAGGTGAATTATTATCTGCTCGAAAAATATTGGATGCTCATATTTCTTCAAGCGCCAATAAGTATGTGTGGGAAAAGGATTTGGTTGATGGGGATCTGATAATGTGTTCAGAAGGAAGAATATCTGAAAATCAGGTATCTATAGATTCATTGATATATTTCTGGATTTTTTGGAAGGATAAAATTGCTTTCATAATTGAATATCTCGGATGCCTTGAAAACCAAGATCCTAATGATTACAGAAGGTACGGAGAGCTTTGTTTGGATTACTTAGGAGTGTGGAGGTTGTATCATAATTTTACTCCAGTTTATGTCTTACTCATATCTGATGCTGATTGGGTTCGAGGTCTGGACAAAAGACATTTTAGAAATCATGGGAAGTTGGTCTCCATTAGTGTTCACCAGCTCGTCTCAGCTGCACGTAGTTATTGGAGTTCAGAAATGCTCTCTGTTGGCATGAAAGTTTTGGAGAAGCTTGAAAATCTTTACAAGTTTCCAATAAAAAATGCTGATGATGCAGTGTTCTGCCAAAGCAGGTGTCTTACCCATATTTGTGAGATCTCAGAATATCTTTTGCAATCAAATTGTTTGAAGCTAAGGAATCAAGATACCGAGAGATTGCAGAGATGTGTAAAGTTTTCTACTGATACTGTTGTTGCGAATATATTTCCTTTGGATTGGAGGAATTCATTGAGGGAGAATATGATTGCTCTTAGAAGAACTGATGCTTTAAAGAATGTGCTGAAACAAGTAATAGTTGAGCATACCAGCTCGAAGAAGGTGCTGTCTTTTGGGCAGATTGGAAGGCTTGCAATGGTTATTCTCGGGTCTGGTAAGCTGAATAATAGTGAACTATACGAGAAGCTTGTGGTAAAACTGGACTGCCACCCGCCATGGAAGGCTTTCATTGAGAATCTATGTGAGAATATTGGCCCTGGAAACACCAGTGAAGAACCGAGAGAGGTGTCTATAATGTTGAAGTTGTATGGAGCTTTAGTTGATACTTATAATGCGAACTGGAGGGTGGTTCGTGATTACATATCACCTGGTTGCTTTTTGTACCTTGTAGAGCGCCTTCTGATTTCGGCAACTTGCTTTCAGGGTTATGCTGTCACCACAAGCTCTTGCTTTGTTGAGTGGCTCATGTACCAAGAGGAAGATACCAACTTAAGTTCCATAGTTGGTGGTGATGTGCAACAATCTTTAATTGACATCCTTCATTTTGTGATTTATGTGGTTCAGGGGTGTCTTTTTAATAAGGCGGATATGGTTGAATGGATTAAAAAGACCGACGCAAATTGGAAGAACAATTATTCTCAACTCATGTTGAGATTTGTTGTCGTATTATGCTTGGTTTATTTAAATTTTGACATGGGTCTAGATGAACTCTATGATTTGCTGGGAAGGGACTATATCACTGAGCAGCTGCCGTGGGAATTTTTTGACGCCCTTAAGAGTGGGAGGAGACACAAATCTCTTAACATAAATACGAGGCTGCTAGCTGCAGCTTTTCAGAAGATTGGTAATACTTTGGTAATTGCAAGTTTCGGGTCTGATTGTTCAAGGTTCTTATGTTCAGATGTCATCTTTGTTGACATGAAGGCCAACCATTCCAGGGATTACATTCTAAGAAAATTGTTTCCTAAACGGCCACCTGTCCTGCAAGTTTCCCAAGCTACATCTGTTGAAGCAGGAGGTAATAATTCTTTCAGTCGTGTGCTTCATGCAACCAATTCCAATTATGAGGAAGGGAAGAGTTCTAAGATCCTGCCATCGAACTCTGGTGTGGTGGAACCTTTTGAGCCTGGTGCTGTATCTGATAAGACGAGTGATGATGCCGCCGGGGGCAGAGACAGCCACAATACAGATGAGGAATGTTGCATATCCAAAGAGTCAAATCCAAAGTCTAAGCGAGCAGATGCTATGGCTTCTGGCAGTAATGAAATTGGAAACAAGGGGAAGAAAAAGGGCAAGAACAAGAAACCCAAGAAGAAAGGAGGCAAAAAGTAGCCATCACATGCGAATATATTATAATTATATATTTGCTATGTGAATGAATCTTGTTATGTATGAAATTGATGGTTTTTATGATGTATATAATAATAATACATCAGACAAATTATCTTGTCTTATGTATGAACTTGATGTTGTGATGTCATGTTAGTGATGATTCCTGGATGATGCATGGGCTTAAAGCGGAGCTATGTACAAATTAAGAAGTAAAATGATTGAAGTGAAAGATTTTGATTTGAATCTGTCTCAATTTGTATGACATTAGACATTTGTTTCTGAGAGATAATCTCAATTGTAATTTATTTATTTATTTATGAAGAAGGGGTGAAACCCCAAGAAAACAAACCAACTAAACTAAACTAATCATACGGAGCTTGTGAAAGGATTTGAATCTCTTCGATGCTTTTAATTGATAGACAATATAGGAAATATATACAGAGCCTTTACTTGGTGGTTACAAAATGTATCTCCTATTCTAGGCAAGGAATAATGTCTTGATTACAAGGAGGATATATAGGAATAAATACTTGGTGATTATACAATGGTTCTCCTATTCTAGGTAAGGAATAATGTCTTGATTACAAGGAGGATATATATGAATAAATACATATAATTGGCAAGTAAGGCCCCGTTTGGGATTGCTTTTTTTTGGCCAAAAACTTGCTTCACTTTAAAGTTAAGGAGTTTAAGGTGTTTGGTAAAAATAAAATATCCTGATTATTTTAAAAGCAGTGGCCTTTTGACAGCAGCTTTTAAAAGCAGGCACTCGGTTGTTTTTCAAAGCTGCTTTCAAAAGAAGCAGAGATGAACCTTTAATGAATTTTTTTAATTCCCAAAATACCATCATTCATTTTAAAAAATGACACCACCTCTACTTCCACATCCAACTCCACCAATTGCATCACCACATTCACTACCTCCACAACCACCGCCACCGCCACCACCACCACCACATCCTCCTCCTCCTCCTCCTCCACCACCTTCTCCACCTCCTCCATCTTCACCTCTACCTCCACCATTACCACAACCACCACCTCCTCCAAAACCTCCACATCCACCACCACCTCCACAACCAACACCACCACCACTACCACCATGCTGCCACTACCACTACCACCACCACCTCCACAACTATGATCCCCACCACCACCACTACCACAACCACCAACTCCACCTTCATCACCACCACCTCCTCCACCTCCACCACCACCACAACCACCACCTCTTCCAAAACCTCCACATCCACCACCACCTCCACAACCAACACCACCACCACCACCATGCTGCCACTGCCCATCACCACCACCACCACCTCCACAACTGCGATCCCCACCACCACCACTACCACAACCACCAACTCCACCTTCATCACTACCACCACCACCACCACCACCATGCTGCCACTGCCCATCACCACCACCACCACCTCCACAACTGCGATCCCCACCACCACCACTACCACAACCACCAACTCCACCTTCATCATCACCACCACCTCCATTCCATCACCACCACTACCACCACACGATTAGTACATAACACTTTTAACATCATGTCTATTTTAATCATTATTCACAGTTACAACAATTTTATATTAAAATTTACCAAACGGTTTTGACACTGCTTTTTATACTAACAACACTTTAAAAATATTGTTTACCAACATGGAGTTGCTTTACTTTACAGCTAATTATTTTCAAAGCACAACATAAGCAATTTTTTTAAAAAGTGACAGCAATCCCAAACTCAGCCTAAATCATATCATAATCAAATTAGGATTCACGTCCATTACAGCCCCGCAAACTAACGGGCCTGTGGAGCATAGGCAACTTGGACCAAAGTAAGGAGAACCGGGCAGGTGATAAGCCCTTAGTTAAAATATCAGCAATCTAATCAACAATAGAACAATACGCAATGAGCAACTCATTCTACACCACCCTTTCACAAACAAAATGATAATCCACCTCCATAAGATGAGTGCGAGAGTGAAAGACCGGATTAGAAGCCAGAGAAAGAGCACTAATATTATCACACCAAAGCTTGGGACAAGGAGCTGAAAGATGAAGATCAATAAATAAAGCACGGAACCATGAGAGAGTGGTGACAGTGTAGACAAGCTGGCGGCATTTTGCCTTAGTACTGGAGCGAGAAACACCACGTTGCTTCTAAGAACTCTAGGAGATTAAGTTAGTATCCAAATAAACACAATAGCCACCAGTGGAGTGACGGTCATCATGATTCCCCGCATAATCGGCATCAGAGTACGCACTGAGAAAGAGAGTGGTAGGCGAATAGAATAACCCATGAGTGAGCAGTAGTGGGTTGATGCATAAATTGACACACCTGATTAACAACAAACGAAATATTCAGATGAGTGAGAGTTAAGTACTGAAGAGCCCCAACTGTACTACAACACTCAGTGGGATTAGGAAGAGGATCCCTATAGGAAATGCTAAGACGATGGCCACTAATAGCTGGGGTAGGCATAGGTTTAGCTTTATGAATGTTAATGTGCTTGAGAAGGTTGACGACATACTTGGTTTGGGAAAGAGAGAACCTAGACGGGGTACGAAGAAGCTCCATGCCTAAGAAATAGTGGGCGGGGACAAGATCCTTCATAGAGAACCAGTGGCCCAAATAAGAGATAAGGGTGGTGATGTGACGAGGATCGGAGCCAGTGACAAGAATATCGTCCACATAAATCAACAAATAAATGTGAATGGAGCCTTGAGTGTACACTAAGAGAGACGAATCAGACTTAGAAGCAATAAAACCCAAAGGAAATAGGTGAGAAGAGAAACGGTGGAACCAAGTGCGAGGGGCCTAGGTAAGACCATAAAGAGAGCGACGTAAGGGGCATACATAATCAGTATATGTGGGATCAACAAAGCCAATGGGCTGGTGCATATAAACCTCTTCATCAAGATAGCCATGCAAAAAAATATTTTGAACATCCAATTAACGAACATGCCAACTAAATTGCACAGAAATAGCCAAGATAAGCGAATAGTAGAATGATTAGCAACAAGACAAAAGGTTTCACCATAGTCAAGGCTCGGTTACTGATGAAAACCATTGGTCACAAAGCGAGCCTTATAATGCTGAATAGTGTCATCCGAATTCCACTTGAACCGAAAAACCCACTTGTTTGGCAACACATTCATGGCGGGGGTATGAGGAACTAAAGTCCAAGTCCTAAATAAGAGCATTAAACTCATCTGCCAGGGTAAGACGCCACTCGTTAAGCTTATTAGCCTGTGAAAAAGATGTAGGTTCAAAAGAATCACCAGTAGAAACCAATACATGATGCGCATATTTAGGATTAGGTTTACGAACACTAGCTTTAGCACGAGTAGCCATTAAATGAGTATTGGATACCTTTACCAAAGAAGTATCAGAAGGAGGAGAAAATGTACTAGATGGAACATGGACGACATGTGAAAAGACAATTTTGGGGTGCAGGTTTATGGAATATGTTTGAGAAAAACAAGAAGGAGGAGGTGCAGACAGGTTGATCGGCGGCTGGCAGGGCGGGGAGGAGAAGGTAGACTTAGGGGGACAGGGGACGACATAGGTGGTGAGCTAGGAGGAGGAGCGGACACGGAACTGGCGGTGCAAAAGCTGGAGCTGGTTGAGAGGGCTGGGCATAGAACGTTGGAGGAGTGAGGTTGGAGGAGACAAAGGTGAGGGAGGAAAAATTAGGACCATGGAGAAGTAGAGGCATGTTAGTTGAGGACGATGGAGAATTGTCCGGAGCAGGAGCAGCGGAGGCCTTGTGAAAAGGAAAAGAAAGTTCATCAAACAATGCATGACAAGATAAAAAGACACGGTGAGAAGAAAGATCTAAACATTGATAAGCTTGATGATTTAAAGAATAGCCTAAAAACACACACTTAGAAGACCAAAACTGCATTCTATTATAATTATATGAGCGTAAGTAAGGAAAACAAGCACACCCAAAAGTTTTTTAAAAAGAATAATTCAGGGCTTTGTGAAATAAGATTTCATAAGGTGATTTATGATGAAGTAACTTAGAAGGGAGACGATTAATTAGATAGACAGTGGTATGCATAGCCTTAGTGCAATAGGAAGGAGGCATAGAGGCATGGGCCAAAAGAGTGAGCCCAGTATCGACATTGGGACGGTGCTTGCATTTAGCTAAGCCATTTTGTTCAGAGTGATGGAGACAAGAGATATGGTGATGAATGCCATGATGACATAAAACATCCTTAAATCCCACCCCCATCAGATTGAAAAGCTTTCATTTTAGTAGAGAACATATTTTCGACCAACACCTTGAATTTAACAAAATGAGAGAAAACTTCAGATTTTAACTTCATTGGGTAAATCTAAGAATAACGGGAAAAATCATCCACAAAGAGAACATAATAAGATAAACCAGAAATTGATTTATTTGAAGAACTCCGCACATCAGAGTGAATAAGTTCAAGCGGTGTAGTAGAAATAGAAAAAGACAGACTAAAGGATAACTTAACACTTTTACCTAATGGACATGACTGGCAAAAAAAGGAACTAGATTGAGAGCCAGAAAATAGCAAATTATTAGAAAACAAAAATTGTAAAGTAGACGAAGCAGGATGACCAAGACGAGAGTCCCACATGGAGTGACCAACACGAACACCTAGTTAAGCAACATGATTAGGAAAAATTTGAAAGGGCTCATTTGGTCAAAAGGAAAACGGACATAGGCTATTGCTACTCTTGCCCTGGAAAAGAATCTTCCCCATCGCCAAATCTTGGATAAAATAGCAATCAGGGAAAAAGGTGAAGAGACAATTGTTGTATATAGCTAATTTATGAATAGAAGGGGAAGAAAGGCATTAGGACAGGGAAGAATATTATTAAGAGAAAAGGAAGAGTTAAGGTGAGAGATATGGGAGTGACCAATATGAGTAATAGGCAAACCTATTCCACCAAGCACACTTCCAACATTGTCGGAACCATGATACTCTCTAGCACGGGAAATATGGCTTAAGTCATTGGTGATGTGGGTGTTAGCCCCAGTATCAGTAACCCGTTGTTGTGTGCCACCATGGGACAGATGGTGAGCAATCATGCCTTGAAGACAAATAGGAGGAGCAGGCACAAAAGTAGCCTTGGAAAGACAAACAGCAGCAACGTGTCCATAGCCACGACAATTGTAACATTGCAAAGGCTCACGAGGAAAAGAATGAGACCCAAAAGATGAGTTATGAGGGCCCGAGGGAGGAGGCCC